TGCTTTTCTGAGTTCCAGATAACATAATCATTGTACCTGTCTCTCGGCAGGGAATCTAGAGCAAGCAAATGAAGAACTTAGAGCAGTTATAAAGAAAATCTGGAAGAAAACCAGCATGAAGCTCCTTGATCAAGTTGTTCCTCCAGCTGGTGGTGAGTAATACAATAAACTATTTTTGCACGTTAGATTTTACAAATGTTGAGAAACCAACTGGTTTTATAGAAATATTGAGTGAGACTTTGGAAATCTGATGTAACCGAGTGCACAATTGAATGCCAAAATAAATATACAGAAATTTAGAGTTTGTTATGTTAGATAATATAAAACTAGATAAGAAAAGTATTCTTTGATTAGAAGGAAAAATACAACTAATATTTTTATGTTAATTTGCTTGCTTGCAAACTATATCTTAGCTACAAAATCAGTATTGATTTCCATAGACTTATCAAGAGAAATAGCATATTTTGTACTAATTAAGCTAACATTGAACATTGGATTTTTGTTTCTAATTTTTTATCCTTTAAATATTTCTGAGGGGGAATGAAAAACTTTCTGTTCCCAGGTTGAAAATAACTTTTTGCCAAATTTGTAAAGGCAAAAGGCTAAACTCTACTCTCAGTGACATGAATGTAAATCCCAAGTAATTCCACTGTCTGCAGATAGTGGAGTTAGTCCAGATTTACACCTAAATAACTGAGATGGGATTATAGACCAAAGCATATAGATTTTTAAATTCTACTGAATTCAGTACGTTGGGAAGAACTACAAGGCCAGATATATTACTTGTTCTTACATACTGTAAAATGACTTGTCAAATCTTTTATTATTTTATATCTAAATATATATAATCATATATATATTTAGCTTTTCTTTTTCAATATATACCTATAAAGTAATATACTGTAGCATAGATTCAGGTGACTGTTTGTTCTTGCTTTTTCAAGTTTTAAAGGTGCAGGATCTGTCGCACGATATCATCCACACCAATAATACATTCAGACATCCAGCATACAGATCCATTGTAATCGTCTGGTATTTTTTGTAGTTTATTGTACTTTTATAGTGTTACTGCAGCTTTCAAAACAGGTCAGACTTAGGTTTGGAAGCAGACTCAAGATCCCAGGCCTGATGGTGTTGGAGGCTGTTCTCTCTCTGAAGGTGACATTCTCAGTCTCTAGGAGAGAGAGAGCATGTTGGCTGCACTGCTCTTCAGCATAATCCAAGAAGCAGCATTAGTTTTGTTGCTGGAGGGAGCCACTTGCTATTGGTGTAGTGGCTGCCAGCTAATAGTGGGGATGATGACAAAAATCTCAACAATCTGACTATCAAAAGGGGAACTGATACTGCACATTTAAAACAACTTTTTGTGTTCTACTTTGTTCTTTTAGCCTTACACCTGAGTGCTTGCATGGCATAGATGAATTGCTTTGTAATTGTTGTAACTATGTGCTTGAGCTTTTTCTGCAGCCTCTGTTCCTTTCAACTATCAGTCTTTCAGAATATTCTGAAGCAATTCTGTTTTAGGGTGGTGGCATGGAATTAGTGTTGCCTCTTGCCAACTTTATTCCCCTATGTTTTTATTGAAATACAGATGCATGCTTCAGAATAGCTAGCTGTGCCTGCCTAAATTAATCTTACAGAAAACATTTAAAGATTATATTCTTAGAATTAATCTTACACAATTCCACCTTAGTTCACTGTTTAACTTCAGTCTCATTTCATTGCTGACTACAAGCTGTATATTGACTTTCAGTTATACTAAAATCCATCGCTAGTTCCATAATACTTATTTTGAAAATTCAGTTCTTCAAAGCAGTTAGGAGGCTGAAAATTTGGACCATCACTGAAACTAGAGAAATTCAGTAAAGTATAAAGAAAAGCAGGTGGGCAAGTCCTTTTTCAAGTTATTTAACAAGATTAGTCACATCTTATAGTTGCCATTGTTTTGTTTTCTTACCAAATCTAGTCAATATAACTTACACCAGAAGAGAAAGTAACTGATTATATCATAACCTACTGAAAGAAATAAATATTTTTCATTCATGAAGCATATTAGTATATACTAAATGACTGTAAAGTAGTTGATATACAGCATAAAGTAGTTCTTACAGAACCTTAATATTCAATAGAATAGTAAAAGGTGACAGTAATATAAGTTTAGTATCTCAAAATCTGTTACCTCTGCAATATTGAATTAGCCAGTGTATGATTTTTTCCCTAGTTTTATTCTTTATTTTTATTCTGAATCATAGAGTCATAGAGAGTAGGGACCCCTGAAGGTCATCTAGTCCCACCCCATGCAAGAAGCAGGATCATCCCTATGCAAATCATCCCATACAGATCCTTGTCTAACCTGTTAGTGAAACTACACAGTCAGTCCTGACACACAACTAGAAAGCTTAACACCCTAACACAGTGGCGAAACTAAAAAGCAGTAAACGGGTCAACCACCCTGAGTGCCAACTTGAAGAGTAGGAGTGCAAAAATTAAGTGTCTGCTGCCAGCAACCATGTGATTGCAGTTGCAATTACAGCGGCAACTGCATGTCACTGCTGCCCCAGGTACCCAGCTGCGTCCCTATGCTGTTGCCCTAACTTACTATATGTAAAGCAGGGGACAACACCAGCCAGGGTAATGCTGCTGTGAGGACAGTTGAAAGGACAGCTTTACTCACCCACATATCAGGCTTCTGGTGTTTGTTAAAAACAAGTTGATTCTCTGAATGTCAGTGGGGGCATCTACACACGCACTTCACTGTGGAGTTGGCTAATTAGCTCCACAGTAAAGCATTGCCATCTACACATACGGCGTTATTAGGCCAAGGTAAACTAATTAATTCTATCATAGGATAGTACTGCCCAACACAAGTACTATTCTATGGCAGAGTTATTTTCTCTACCCCAACACGTGTATAGGGTGACAGGGGCTGGCTGGGGCACAAGGGTGCTACAGTGTAGGGCAGCCTGCTGGCTAGCCCTGGGCTGACAGGCTGACCCCCCCCCCCCCGACCCTCTGCCAGCCAGCTCTACACTGCCCTAGCTCAATTTGTTGCAGTCCTAGGTGCACTTGTAAACACTGAGCCCAGGAGCAATAAACTCAAGCGCAAATGGCACCAGAGTATATTCAGCCACACTAATTTCATGTGCAGATGTACCCAGAGTGAAAGAAACCAAATCATGTTTTTTCAAGCAGATGTAATATAAAAAGAAAGTGAAGTAATTACCAGTGCAGATAATAAGCAATTCCTACACACTGATTTCACTAACAATCAACAATTGATTTAGGTAAAAAAAAGTAAAAGTGCTTTGCAAAAGACAAAATATCCAATATATGCAGTGTTTAACATGAATTAATATTATTAATTAGAACATTGTACAGGGAAAGGAATGCACAAAATCCACTACGTTTTATCTCCTCTTCTAAAATGGAGTTTTCCCACGAGGTCCCCATATTCTGCGTGCAAGCTCATTCTGTCTTCTCTAATACTTCTTGACTTCTTCCAGAATTTTTCTTCTCCTGTAATGATTTCTTTTGCTCTCAGTTTGGTTGGAATTACAAATCTGTCACTTTTCTTGACACCTTCCTGAGCTCTACATCTCTAGCTAGGTCTTTGTTTCTAAAAAACAGAGTCCTTTGGCTTAGCTTCAGGTTGTATATGTCCCTGCCTGTGCATACAACTGTGCCTGTGGGAGCATAAGTCCTCAAGTTCTAAGCATACACAGACACTTATATAGGCAAATCAGGCAGTTGAGAACTTATCTCTTTTGCCATAAAAAAGTGAATACATACCCATACTTACAGGCACAATCCATTGCCTTACCAAAGCGGCCATGCAGTGTTACACCTACTCACTTGTTTTCTCCATAGCCGTTATAATTTTTCCCCCTTCAAGCTCTGTTCAGTTATTAGAGAGGAAATAATACAGGGGATGGGGAAAAACTTATTTAAGGAGCTAATCAAGGATATATATAACACCAAATAATGCTCCTAATTAAGCTAAAGAGGGCAGGTTTAGATCAAATACTTTATATGGCAAATCTTTCTAACATCCGTGGCAAAAAGAGCAGACAGTCAATTGAATAGCCACTGAGAGACATTACAGATGCAACATTAAAGGAAAGGCTCACAGAAAGTTTAGATAATTAAATTGAGAGTTGGAATCAGTGAAGGGAAATTCTGCCTGGGGGACTGATCTTGTGTACTAGCAAGCTCTTTTTTGATGCTGAGCTCCCTTCTTCTCCTGCTGCATACATTGGGAGTTGAGGGGAGCCAGCACCTTTGAGGAGTGTCAGCACATAGCAAAGGCAGACTCAATGATGCTTCTACGTAAGAGACTTCCTTGAACAGACTGAGCTCCCAACTGAGCTACGTTAAACAAATTATATGAAATATTTTTGTGTGTGTGTCCTTTGATGTAAAATAAAATGTCAGGCCAGATTCCTGTCTGCTGTATTGGACTGAAGTTAATGTCTTGCATGCCATCTGTAGATAATTCAAGGAAGTAATTTGGAAACGGAAGCTGTTATAACAATAGAAGTAGGTTTAATCAAAGCTTCTTCTTAAAAATAACATTGTAGTGAATTATTTCCTGTACTTATTACTAAAGTTAAAAAGGCCCTCAAAATGTAATATTATATGCAGTAACAGTAGCATAAAATAAGAAAATCAATTAAACTTAAAGTTGCAAAATATTTCATGTTGCAAATTATGCAGTGCCAGTTAAATGTGTGGGATATCTTGGACATATCATTACATGTAAAGCAGTCAAAGAAAAATCCATTTTAACCAAGTTAAAACCATGTTAAGTATATCATATCACAAAACACCTTGAAAGTATATTTATGTCACTAACACATAAACAATAAACCCTATACATGTCTTGCATGGGCTTTAAGCTTGGAATAAAGTTTAAAGGAAAAAATATTGCTTAGCTGATCTGATTAGAGACTGAAATAACATAGTGCAAAACAGCTTATATATATAAGCAATTATTAAATCTTGTAACTTCAGTTAGTATGCTAGCTTAGGGAGAAAATTGTTGACGCAACTAAAAAAGAGGCAGAGAAGCATATAAAATGTGTATATTATATATCCTGCAGTTTACCTTTTACCTAAGTATGTCACAGTGTCTGGATATGTTATTTAACATTCCTATAGTTACTCTAATAACAGTCACAACTGTACACATTAACCCAGATCCAGAGAGCCTGTCTTTCACACTGAGGTCAGGAGAAATTACAGGAGCGTGGCATCCGGCAGAATTAGACCTACTAACAATAGAATTAACTCTAAACTTTGGTACCAACAATGTTAAAGCACGTTAAAGTTCCCTTTAATGTATAGCACTGTGGTAATTAGCATCATCAGTATGTTAAAATAATCAAGGGAGTAGGTAGCAAATTTAAAAAAAAACCCCCAAGAAACTTCACTCCAGGTAACTCCAGAAAAGTAAGAATATGAAATAATTAGCCTTTTTTTAAAAAAAGAAGAAAATCCTAGTTGTGTAATAAATGCGCTGTATCAAGAAATGAAATCTCTACAAGTGGGGTCTCAAACTGGCCTTTGAAAATAGATGTGCAAAATTAGGAGCTGATTTGGAAACCTGGATATGGGATTTAGGTATTTTAGCAAAGCACTTGTATTTGAAGATGGTAAAGTGTGCTGATTCCTCAAAGTGACCCTATAAGACTTCCTAACGTTTACTCTACTTATCATTTGCCTGCATATTTTTGAATGCTAGATAATTCAGTTTAAAAAAAAAAATTAAAACCTTATCTTTACTTCCATCAGCTATTCTGAGTCAAGATGTTACTGTGAGAAAGTAGTATGCTTTGTCTGATACACCATCATTACTGGTACAGATGCTACCTGAGAGCTGAATCCTTGCTGAAACAAAACTCTCATGGAAATTAATCAATTCTGAAGTAGAGAGATGAGTGCAGGATTTGCTCCCAGTCCTGGCTAAGCAGGAACCACACACAACCCAGCATGAATATCTGGTAAATAGATATATAACTCAGGCTAAGGCACTCCAAGGCTATGGTGATGGTGCACCAACACAAGAACAACACAAGCAGACGGACAGATTAGATGCCAGTGGGCACATCTACATGAGATATTTACTGCAGAGTAGACTAATTAGCTCTGCAGTACACAGCTTGTGTCTTCACGTGCGGTCCTTTTAGGCCACAGGAAACTAATAAAAGCGGAGTTTTTTACGGCACAGCAGCGCATGTGTAGATGCTGCCCTGGCTGGTTGGGGCACAAGGGTGCCTCAGTGCAGGGGCTGCCTGCTGGCTAGCCCTGCACTGAAGCACCCTTGTGACCCAACCAGCCCCTCCACAGCACGTTGAGCTGGGCGGGAGCAGCCACAGGCTGGCAGGCTGACCCCCTGGACCTCCTGATGGCTGGGACTGCTGCGACCCAGCTCAACGTGCTGAGGTTCTGGGTACACGTTCAAATAGTGTGCCTGGGAGCAATAAACTCCAGTGCGATATGTGCCAGAGTTTATTGCTAGCACGTGTAGACATGCCCAGTTTGAAGTGCAATTGGAATAACCTGATTTTGATTTGTTAGCTAATTATGTTTGGTTTGGTAGGAAATCACTGAGTGAGAATAAATGAGACAGGAAATTATCTTTTTTTACTGAGTCACTCTTCTGGATCAAAGTGCATGCCAATTCTAGTACCTTTCATTTATACATTTGTTTCAAGTAGCCAAAGCCAGTAGTTTAGTCCTTTGCAGTTACAAACAAGCTTCTGGTTTGAATAAAAAGGTACCTTCATGAAACTTAGTAAAATATTCTATTTTCTTCTATATTAAAGACTAGTTCAGTTAATCAGTTCTAATTTCAAGCCTAGGTTGCTTGCTAAAAAAATTGCTTTGTGCTAGATGTAGGCTACCTTACTATAAACTAGAACTAGTGTCTATTGAACCCATCACATTTTTTTTTCCTGAATCAGATATGAGTATGTAGGCTATTGATGAAATGTGCTGACTTGGGAGAGATCTGTCTGGTCTGTTCATTTAGATGATGAGGTAACCGTGGGGAAGTTCTATGCCACCTTCCTGATACAGGACTACTTTAGGAAATTCAAGAAACGCAAAGAACAAGGACTGGTGGGGAAATATCCTGCGAAGAACACCACGATTGCTCTACAGGTGATTTTGTTTTTACATTTTAACTAACCATTCTGTAAGCTTATTTGAAATAGCAGGTAGATGATTATTCATGATTGAGCAGTATCACCAGGATTTTATTTAGCTGAGACACTTTGGGCCCTTCATTGGAAGAATAATCCTATGTTTCTGTCTATAAAAAGGTAAGTGCAAAATGATGTTCTTCATGTGTGGCTAAAATAAGTTCTAGCAAAATGACATAGCATATGGTTAATAGATTGCTTGCAGAAATCTGAGACCAAAGCTGCCAGTATAAAATCAGATGAATGAAGTGGTGTTTTTGAGCTGGGAAGTCTCATCTTTGCTCTACAGGGGTTTTTTAAAACTCTCAGTTTAGTTATTTTTGTGTCTAGTATTCTAGCACAGGAATTCTCAAATATTTTCATAGCATGTATGATCTTCTAATAGATAAATTGTCTGATAGAATAACCTTCCTTGTCACTGCTGCTTGACCTCTTCCTTTTCCACTCATAATCACTGAGGAAATCTCCTCCTATTTGCAATCACATAACTTCACATATTGAATATGATAAGAAAAACAAAACACTGAGGGATTGAGAAAAGGTAACAATAAAAACAGCAGGGACAGGGGTGGACAGAGAGTGAAAGGCATCAGGGAGGCATTATAAAGGTAAAATAGGAAGGTGTTTGGAGAAGAATCATGAGAAAGTTGCCAAACTCAGAACCATCTTATACTCAGAAACCCACTGACTTCAGGAGAGTGGGTGTTGTGTGAGACAGACAAGAATTTGTCCCAATATAAAGAGAAGGGCTTTAAAGAGATGCAAAACAAGAGAGAAGGATCATTTCTCTCAAATGTGTGAGTCCTGTCAGCTGTCTTTAAATAAGTCACTCTATTTCATATCTCAGCTATCATTACCGAATTAAGATAATACAGGAAACTGAAATGAAATAATATTTTCCAGAATGATTTTTTTCTTGCCATTTTGACATACGTTTTCACCGTTCTCTTTCTTTCATCTGGCAAACTACTATTGAGTGAAAGACCAGTATTCACATTTACTGAACTGTACAATGCAATTCAGTAGCTGAAATTCACTAATGTTTCCTATTCTGCTTGGAAAGGTAGGCATCCTGATACTAGCAAAACGATTCTCCTTTACCATTGCAGTAAGAAATGTTCACATGTAAGATTTCTAGATTACAAAACAGAGACCTTCCTTTCAGTGAACATGAAGACACAATAACATTCCTTACTTGTTGTCCCTTTGTTAGGGGTGGCCTCAAGACTGTTTCAGATATTGTAATTTGTTCAAGTGGAAATCTTAATACTACCAGGCACAAACTAGCCCAGTATATAAAACATCACTTATTTTCTCCTGATCCTAAAAAATCTGTCATATTTCTAGGAAGAGAATGGCATGCTGTTCAATTGACAGGTATTGCAAGGAATTGTTGCCATGTGTGTGCCCTTATTCCATCCATATGCACTCATCAAAATAATGTTGTTTCTTTATTCTGCCTTCTTTCTTTCATTGGAAAGACAGTTTACGTACTTCTGTGGATTTGGACATTCTCTATTTCTTTGGCATTTGGTAGCGTGAGGCAGGACAGATTATTTTAAGTCATAGTGTCACAGTTCTCCACTCTGCTTTTCTAAGCCAAACAGAAAAAAAACCCTTAAACTCACAAATTCCCAATAAGAGAATATGATAAATAATGGAGAAGAAAGGAGAAAGTAGTCAGACAGGCAAAAATAACCTCCTTCTGGTGCTTTGATCAGTAGTTTTAAATACACTATATTTGAAAAATCAGCCTGTGATCCCCTCTCTCCTTCCCTCCCCTATGCACCTGAAAAGGATTGTGGGTGCTGAGCCATGACTTACATAATATTCATTTCACATAAGATGTAAAATTTTAAAAGTGAGGGTGATTAACCATTGGAACAAGTCACCAAAGGATATGGGGCGGATTCTCTGGTAGTGGCAACTTTTAAATGAAGATGGGGCATATCTTTTAGAACGGTAACCCATTTCAAACAATAGTTAATTCAGAAAAGATCTATGGTCTTTCTTAGGAAGCCAGACTTTACTGTGGTCCCTCTACCCACATAGTCTGTGAATTCAGTGAATTCTGTTTCACCCCCCCTCTCTCCAGATTAAAAAAATCCAGTGGGAAGATTGTGCCTAGACGCTGTGTGCTTAACTAGGAAGAGGGGGGCAGGAGGCTTTCCAATCCCATTACATATCTGCATAGGGACTGACAATAATGGCAGCATTTCCATGAGATATGACTGAGCTTTCACAGTAGTCAAAGCTTGGTATTACACTGAGGTCAGTTAGACCTGATCCCAAGTATGGGATAGCAGTCATGTTGTCTTTGCATTCCTTGAACTTCCAGGAGAGAAGGGTACACCTCTCCAGGTTCCCACTAGTGTCACGATCCGTGGCCCCATTTTGAATTATTCTCAGAGTATCATTGCATATATTTTCACAAAGATTACCATAGATACCCTTTGCAGCATGATTTAGCAAAATGAAAGCAAAAAATTTGCACTGCATTTCCAAAATTACCTGTGCCAAAAGAGAGTATGAGCTTCTGCTAAAACCTGTACAGTACAAAAAGATTGATTTCTAACAGAAAGCATTTACTGAAGAAGAGTGACAGCATAAGAGCAAAACCATCTGTTGCTGGGGGAGCTGGTAGCCTGCCAGGCAGAAGCAAGTAACCAATGTAACAGCAGTAGTACTAAGTGGATGACCTCCTGTTATCAGTAGGAGATCATCAGTCAGTGCCGTGTATCAGACTCAGCCTTTGTCCCAGAGGGAGGCATTAACCTGCCTTATACCCTGCTATTGCTTTTTCTGTTACTGCCATTTTTCACATTCACAGGTAAAATTACCCTTATTTTGTACCCAGTTCTCATCCCCTGTGTAGCTCATTCCACATCTGAATTTACTACGTAGCTTAGAGCAGGGCTGTCCAACAGGCAGCAGGTGGGCTGGATGTGGCCCTAGGGCTCCTATCTGGCCACCACTCCCCGCAACTGCTCCTGCTGCTGTGGTGACTAGGGCCTCTGGGGCGAGGAAGCATAATGGGAGAGGGTCTAGTGAACATCCTGGCTGCACAAGAGTGACAGGGGGCTTGTGTTGCCTACAGGGGGAGCTTATACTGCCTGCCGGCAGCAGGAGGGCTTGCATTGCCCATACAGTGTGGTTCGTGGGGAGTGGGGACCTCACAATATGGAGCCCATACAATGTGTAGCCCATGGAGCCCATGACCAGTTCCATTGTTGGACAGCCTCGCCTTAGAGCCTTCCCAGAGGGGTTGAACCCACATGTTTGAATGCTTGTACCAGGTGTGACAGTAATGCTGGAAAGGCCTTCTCCCCTTCTTCAAACTATTGGCTCATCCCCTGCACATCTGTCATTGGGACCTAGATGGGAAACTTGGGACTTTTCTACAGTCTGCTTTAGCAATTGAATTAAGTTAACAGAATAAAGTACTCTTGCCCCAGAATAAGTGTGTAAACAGGGAGTTGGGAATAGCTGTTTTGTTTTAAATTCAAAGATCCACCCGCCATTTTGAGTTAAAATCCCTGTGTGGATGAACCCTAAGTGACCTATACCACCCCATTTTTAAAGCTGTAGCACTTGCAGTCTTTTCAGTCACAATTAAGGAATGTTAAGACTGCAACAATTTTGGTCACATGCAGCTAGATACCCTCCTGGAGCTGAGAACTGCCTGTGATATACCTAGCATTTCTATTTGTTTTAAATTAGTCCCATGCATTCCTAATATATTGCTTTACTTGTATCTGCCTTAACAGATAATAAAATCAAATTCTGAGGCTACTGGAAATATGAAATCCTATGGCTAATTACGTTTTTGACTGTATTTACAAATATTCATGCTATTTAACACGTTATAGATAAGCCAAAAGTAAAGGCCAACCAAAATTACATATGTCATTACCAGGGATCCGGGTATTCTATTTCCCATGGAACAACTGAGTAAAACATAGGATTCCCCCTTTACTGAAGGAAAATGTGGGTTTCTCATGGTAAGGGAGAAACCTGTAGATTTTGCAGTTTTGCAAAGAGCTCTTTGAAGGCTGGCAAAGTTCCAGCTTGCAGGGGGCTGGGAGGGAGTGGGAGAAGGGCGGTCAGGCAGGGGGCTCCATGTGCACGTGCACATGGCTGCCACACAGCCTGGATAGCAGCTCTTGCAGGTAAGTGGAGGGTGGCACTGAGGCCCCCATAGGCATGGAGGGAGTTGGACAGGACTAGGGCTGGTGCTGCTGCCCAGCTGGGCAGTGAATAGGGCTTGGGGCCTGGGGCCATAATGCATGGCCACAGGGCCCTGGCAGGGAGTGGATGTGAGGGGCATCAGCACTCAGGGCCGTGGGCTACTTGTCCAGGGGGCAGGGGGGTGGGGCCACCTCCCCGCCGCTGTGTGCACTCCTGGGAGGGAGGGGGTTAGAGGGGACCTGTTCTGCCCAGATCTGTGTACAAGGCAGGGGTGGGGGTGGGTGCAGGCTGCTTGCTGCAGGCTTGGGCTTCTGCCCTGCTGCCCTTCGCATCCCAGTAGGTGTGACCCAGTGCTGCAGGGCAGAGTGGGGCCGTGCAAAAAAGTTGCTTGCCACTGCCAGCTCCATGCTGCCCTGGTGAGGTAGGAAGGCTGCTTGCACCCATTACACCCATTGAGTTGCAGAGGGCAGCAGGCTGGGAGCCCGAGCCTGCAGTGGGCAGCCCATACCTGCCCCCGCCCCCACTTCCACCTGTGCACATATCTGGGGGGCACAGGTCCTTCCTGCCCCTCCCCCCTCCCAGAGTGCATGCAGTGGCTGCAAGCTGGCTCCTCCTCCCCACCTGAGCCTGCAGCACCAGGCAG